AAGTTTACTTCTGGTGCAGATGCTAAGTTTACAATTCATGTGTGTCACTACCCATGAAGATTTACCTACTGGTGCCAAACTTGTGAAGATTGTTTTCAGATATTTGATGAGAATCATTAAAACATTCATGTAGCCTTTACTTTTCTAAATGATATTCATTGTACAGTCAATGTATATTAGTGCTTTTTCCTTTTCCTTTAACCCCTTCCCCCAGGCAGCATGTATGTAAATGCCATGGCTGTTGTGGCAGGTGGCATTACATCACAACCACATCATCAGCTCATCGGATGGAGCTTGTTTTCCTCTAATAGTAGTGGCATTATTTGTATGGTGAAACTTTTAGGGAATAGTACCTAAAGTGAAGGTAAACCTTCACATTTCTTTTTTTTTTTAATAATATCAAAATATAAAGGTTCAGGTGCTCAATGTTGCCCACAAACTAATGAACAAGCAGGGGCAAACATGGGTAATTGTCAATGCGAACAAGTAATCCCAAATTAATGGCCCACACGCCAAATTTTTAACATGGGGTCAATGGATTAATAGCCGAGTTGCAAAACCTTTTTCAAGTTTACATTATTTTTGCTTCTCGCCTTGTAATTCTTTTCTTTGTATGTATTGCATGATTTCTTTATTTTGCTTTCTTTCTCTATTTTTGAAGTTCTTTAAAATCAGGGGTTGCATCTTCTTTCCCATAAACTAGATGTAACTCAGATAGAGATACATTTTTTCTTTTCCTTTTTTTGGGAGAAATAGGTAATTAATCTGATAACAATAGGCAAAAGTACACATGGGAGTTGGAATGGAGAAGAAAAAAGAAAGGACTGCAAATTCTATAACACTTTCAAGTTTGGTCACATTTCTCCATTAGACAAGGCAAAGATCAGACTACATGAAGATTAAAGCACTAGGATTCACAGGGAGAGTGAACTTACCTGTATTCTTCTCAACTCGTAATTGAACTCCGGTTTCACCCGTGATAGCATTCACTTCTTGAATTATTGAGTCTATGTCATCTACATCGTCATTCTGTGGATAAGGGAATTTCAAATCATTCCAGATCATTGTAGGACATGACATGAAGAAAACTTGATACAAAAAAAATTCTACTTTTGAAAAATGGTAAAGTGATAGTCACACTAGTCTTCTCTGTCTGGGGATCTCTGGACAGCCATGCTTAGGGTCTGTCAGCTACAGAGCAGGACTGGTCACAATATGCACTGTTTTCCTGCATGGAGAAGTGCCCTCCCAATAAAGGCCATAATGTCTACAGTAACCTCCTGCATGAACTGTGTATTGAAGATAACAGTGTATTCAATAATCATTACTGCATTTACTGTAGACTAAAAAATTAAAGGAGACACTTAACTTAGACAAGTCATTCCACCCATGTTATCAATTATCATACATCATACAGCTACCTCAGTACCCCATATTTCAACAGAAATAAAAAAACCTGACAATATTCTTTCCTATAGCATATACCATTATTAGTAAGTAAGTGAGACGTAATTATGGACTGATCAAAAAAGTTGGAAGGAGCCAAATACTAGAAGAGAAATTGAGTAAACTATTTGTAAATGTTGATTGTGACACAGTCTTGGCAGCCATGTATTTATACCCTGTTCAAAGCAAAGTTTCTTGTTGATTTCATCCATTATTGTTATTCTTAAGTTTCTACTATCATGATATTTGTGGATGGCATTCAATAAAAGTTCTCAGGCTCTCACTTTGTCCAGCCAGGCGTAAATAATATCTGAGTAAGCTCCATGTCTTCATTATGTTGGAGTGGATGTTTGTTTGCATTTATTGATCAAATGAACATTTGTCTGGTGATTTTCTAAAATTTTAGTTAGGCACCAATGTTAGTAATATATACTACTTATTTCTACAGTATAACTGTATCTCTTGCTAGGATGAAAGGCCGCTTGGGGATGGTATTTTCATTTTTTTTCCCTTCACAGCTGGGAGAGCTCCTCGCTCTGTAGAGGGATCATTGGACAGAATAGACTAGTGTGGCCACCCCTTAACCACTAGCCGACAGGTGGCATGTACGTACATGCTTAACCACTAGCTGACGGGTGGCATGTACGTACATGCCATGGCTGTTGTGGACCAAAAGACAGATGGCATTGTATCATGCCTCTTACCGCGCCATTGGCTCGTCGGACAGAGTCTGTTTTTCTTCAATAGTAGCGGCTTCATATATTTGGTAAAGATTTTAGGCAATACCACCTTTACTAATGGTAAACCTTCAAAATTATAATATTTTTACTAATTATAGAAAAATAAGAGCTTCTAAGTGCCAAATGTCGCTCGCAAACTACCAAACTAGAAACTGCCGATGCACGCCAACAATCCCGTTATTACGTCCACCTGCTAAACTTTTATACCCATCGGCATTGGGTTAACTGTGTGGAATTTACTTGTCTATATTACCTTGGGCTTCATGTGCTTCATGTCTACCATCATCTTTTTTGAACTCAAATATTATGAGCATGTACCTTTTAAAAGAATTCCATTCCTATTATCATAAAGCTCTACATTTCAACTCCTAACACTACACCTACTCTTCTTCACATTAACCTCTTCTTTACAGCTTATAAAGGAATCCTCTACAGTTTACTTTCCAATATTGCCCCATATCACCTCTAATTCTGTTAAGAAGCCCCCCATTCTCCTAGGAAGCCTTTTATCCCTCTTCATCTCCCCACACTCCCTCTTCATCCTCCTAGGAACCCCTCAACCCTATTTAATCCTCCAAGGTAGTCCTATATCCCTCCTCATCCCAAAACAAAAAATCCACATACATCCATCTGATCTTCGCTACTGGCTGGAAACTTTGGCCTCCCTTTCTTCTTCTTCTTCCTGCGTTTCCGCCGAGCACCTGAGGCAACTGGTGGTTGGGGGGAAGTTCCATTCTGCCTCCCTTCTTCCCTACCATCTCCTGTCTCTGTCAAGTCATCATCTTCCTTCACCTCAGATTCTGAGGGGGAGCCTTGCAGCAGCTTAGAAAGAAAACAAACATGATAAGACATTACTCAAGAACACAAAAATTCTCTTAACCCAACTAAACAGTGCCATGACACAGGTTTGACCATCTCCCACTCACCATTTCAAACCTATTTTGCCCTTTGGAGGCCACAATGGGGACGTCTTTAGGGCCCTCATTTTGGGTCTCCTCCTCCTCCTCCTCCTCTTCTTCCTCTGAGACGTTGTTTGGGAAGTCAAGCTCTCCTCGTCCGCCCTGGAGCTTCCTTAAGGCCCGCAGAGACATGATGCCCAGTCTAAATTCTGAAAGCCATAAACAAAATAAAAGTTTTAGAAATTCATAATCAACATCCTCATAACAATAATGATGATGATGATGATGATGATGATGATAATGATGATGGTGATGATGATGATAAATGGGATGATGATTACAATGATCATAATGAATCATAATGATCACAATGATGATCATCAATGATTATGATCATAATCATTAACATGGGCCTAATAGTATTGAAAATTAAAATGGAAATGAATGAGAATGAGAATGAATATGGAATACTAATAAATAAACAAATAGATAAAGGAAACTGATTATAAAAATAACAATGACAGTGATAATAATGATATCAATAACAATAACAGCATAATAATAATAATAATAATAATAATAATAATAATAATAATAATAATAATAATAATAATAATAATAATAATAATAATAATAATAATAATAATAATAATGATAATGATAATGATAATGATAATGATAATGATAATGATAATGATAATGATAATGATGATAATGATAACAATAATAACAATAATAATAATAACAATAATAATAATAACAATAATCATAATCATAATAATGATCATAATAATGATCATAATAATGATCATAATAATCATAATAATCATAATAATAATCATTAATAATAATAATAATAATCATAATAATAATCATAATAATAATCATAATAATCATAATAATAATCATAATAATAATCAATAATAATAATAATAATAATAATAATAATAATAATAATAATAATAACAATAATAATAATAATAATAATAATAATAATAATAATAATAATAATATAATAAATAATAATAATAATAATAATAATAATA